TTTGGAGAAAAATAAGAGCTACTGTTTCGCCGCAACGATTCAATTGTCATTTTCGCTATTTCCATCAATCGATTTCAGTGAGTTCGTGCAATAAATGAAATAATAAAACAAACTTACCGTTTCTCTCGGCGCAATTGTTTCGAAATAGCTAATGTCTTTACCATTGATTTCAATTTTACCAGAACCTAACAATAAATTCAAAATGTTCATTAATAAGAATTTACGTCTTTACAGAAAGCTGCAAACAGATCCGAAAGAAAAACTCACCTGGTGAAATGATAGTGACTTCAGCTAGCGCCGATTTGAATCTGCACTCTGTAAATGAACAAATCGATTTGTTTCAACCGAGAATTCGTGAATAGTCTACAAATAATAAAACTTACTATATGATGTTACATATTTGCGTCCATCTTCACCAATTTTCGGTTCGACAATGTCACGTGTTTGAGTTTGTGCTTGTGTCTTAATCCTAAATTTCATAATGAAATCTACTGCTTTATAGGAGTATGGATGTTCCAACAATCGTTCCATCATTAAAATAAAATCGGAATAAAATTTATCGCTAATTCCTTCAATGATTTTATCCTCCAATTGTCCTTTGGTCATCCATACTGAATCTTCCCATTTACTATCAAATCAAGAATATCAATATAATTTACAAAAATAACACCAACAAATATTTGAGCATACTTTTGAAGTCCTTCGTTTGGTGTCTTATTTTGTCGAATTTCTTTATCTTGAATTTTATCTAACATTTTCATTTGTTCATAAGCGTCCTAAAATTGTAATACATTTTTCTTGTTAAAAATCAGCGACTACGCTCGAAATCGATTTGTAAAATTGTAAACGTACATGACAAGCTTCATAGTAATTGGGAAAACCGGTGAAGAAAAAGGAGTGAAATGGGCGTCCAGTTCGATCGATTTGGATATTTTTTCGTGGTGGGAAAACTTCTTCTGGTGGTTTCATAAATGGACGGGCTTTCTTATCGTTGAGAGCAGATGGAAATAGATATTCAATGGCAGCCTATGTAGAAATGACAAAATCGTAAATCAAACATTAAATCACTCATTTAAAATCGGCAAAAATTTAATTATTTACATCTGCATCGGCTTGGGTAAAAGTTTCGGGATCGGCACCCATCATATTTGCCAAATGACGCATACCAAGTCGATATTCAGCACCAGCTATTTGAATCATTTCATCATAATCTTTTGCTCGATCCAAAAATATTTTGGCAGCAAGGTTCATTTTTCTACCATGCTCATCATCGGCGGTGGGTGAAGCAATCTTGAATGAAGCCACCGTTGTTATGTTACACGTTTGTTGTGGCTACCATTTAAAAAGAGAAAAAAAAAAATGAATTAACAAATTACAAAAAAGAAAACAAACAAACCATGAATGTGCATTGAAGATATTTAATTTTCAGGTTAGGTGCATTTCGCAAATGTTTACATTCGTCGAATAAATGAAAATAAACTTACTTTAATTTGAACGGGATTTACTTGCAAACGTAAATGGGAACATAATTTTTTACGTAAAATGCCTCGTAAGAGACTATTTCCTAGCAATGACATGATAATTTTACCAAACAATTATGAATTTCCACTGAAAAATAATCATTCACCGATAGAAACTCATGCGATTTGTTTCATGTGAACGGTGACAAGGAAGTGTCAAATGTGACAGTTTTCAAAACTGGAATATAAACCGCACACTTTGACACATACCATACCGAATGAATTGGAAGGTGAATGTACACGCGTTTAATGGCATTGTTCTCGTAGCTATTTTTGTATACTGATTGAAACTTTGGGTAAGTTTGACAAAGCCGGAATACCGCTTGTGCAAAATAAAGAAAAACTTGTGAAAATTTTTATTATTCACATTGAATATTTAAAACAAATGATGAAATTATTGGTGATGTTGTGCAATATGTATGGATAATAATGAAACTTTCGATTTGTTTTCTCTTTCTCTCTCTCTCTCTCTCTCTCTCTCTCTCTCTCTCTCTCTCTCTCTTCATGTAGGTCAACATAAAAGATGGGCGAAGAAAATCTGATTGAACAATTTGTCGCACTCGGCATGAGGTAATAATTGTCATAAAACTCCTGCAGACACTCATAACTCATTTGATCTAATATATTATAATTTTTTGTTTTATTTTTAGTGAAACAAAGGCAAAGGAAACATTGAAAAATGCCAATGTTACGAAAAATCTAACAGCTGCATTGAATGAATGTAAAGGCACACCGTTGCCGGATGGAGCCGGAATGTTGCTGTACCACATGGCCACAAAGATTAAGGCACAAATCTTTCATAATTTACCATTGCTCGTAAAATATATTGCATCGCAAAAATTAGATACAACACTTCGCGTTGATGCGGCTCTTGCCTACTTACTCAAGAATGGTCTACAAGGAACTGATATCAATACGGCCGAGTTTGAAAAGCATTGTGGTGTCGGTATTGTTGTTACCCCCGAAGAAATCGAACGTCATGTTGAAGCTGTAATTGCACAAAACAAGAATGTCTTATTGGAACAAAGATACCGCTTCAATGTGTTCAAAATAATGCAAGAAGTGCGCGAAAAACTACCATGGGCCGATGGCAAACAAGTGAAAAATGAGTTCGATGTGCAAATCTTTGATTTGTTGGGTGAAAAAACGGAGGCCGATCTAGCTCCGCCTCCAAAGACGAAGAAAGAAAAGAAACCGGCTGAAAATGCGGGTGCCAAAGCTGACAAACAAAACGGTGTCGATGATGCATCAAAAGTAAGTGATGGCGCCAGTTCAATTGCTGAATTGATGAAAACAAAAGTGCATTTCCATGCACCGGGCGAGAATTACAAAACTGATGGTTACGTTGTTACACCAAACACTGAACGCTTGTTGAAAGAACACTTGAAAAAGACTGGCGGCAAGGTACGCACACGTTTTCCACCCGAACCAAATGGTATCTTACACATTGGTCATGCCAAAGCGATAAATATCAATTTTGGCTATGCTAAAGCACACAACGGAACATGTAATTTACGATATGATGACACAAATCCTGAAAAAGAAGAAGAGAAATTTTTCGTGGCTATTAAAGATATGGTGGAATGGTTAGGTTGGTCAAACATTTATTGTGAATGTGCTTTACATATGTTCGATAATTTACATATGTTCGATTAATTTCAGGTTATACACCCGATAATATAACACATTCATCGGATAATTTCCAGCAATTGTATGAATGGGCGATAAAATTGATTAAGAAGGGGCTCGCTTATGTGTGTCATCAAACTGCTGACGAAATGAAAGGTTTCAATCCGAAGCCATCACAATGGCGTGATCGTCCAATCGAAGAGAATTTACAATTGTTTGAAGATATGAAAAATGGTAAAATCGATGAAGGTTTGGCAACGCTTCGCATGAAAATCACATTGGAAGAAGGAAAGATGGATCCAGTTGCCTATCGCATCAAATTTATTCCACATCATCGTACCGGTAACGAATGGTGTATTTATCCCACTTACGATTACACTCACTGTTTGTGCGATAGCATCGAAAATATTACGCATTCATTGTGCACAAAAGAATTTCAATCACGTCGTTCGTCATACTATTGGCTATGCAATGCCCTCGATATTTATTGCCCTGTTCAGTGGGAGTAAGTTTACTTTGACAATTACATTTTCATTTCATCCCAATAATTTACTTTTTTCTGATTCACTCAGGTACGGCCGATTGAATGTAAACTATACCGTTGTTTCAAAACGTAAAATTGCAAAATTGATCACGGAAAAAATTGTCAACGATTGGGATGATCCTCGTTTATTCACATTAACTGCATTGCGTCGTCGTGGTTATCCACCAGAAGCAATTAATAATTTCTGTGCTCTTGTTGGTGTTACCGGAGCACAAGGTATTATCAATACATACATATTCATTCAAATAAAATGGTTGAATAAATGTTTCACTTTTTTATAGGTGCCATTGATCCATCGATGATTGAGGCCACCGTACGGAATTACTTAAACACAAGTGCACCGCGCCGTTTGGTCGTTTTGGAACCTGTCAAAGTTACACTCACCAATTTTCCGTTCGATAAACCACAATCAATTACCGTACCAAATTTCCCAAATGATCCAACGAAAGGTACGCATCAAGTCATTTTCGATAAAGTAATTTACATCGAACAAAGCGATTTCAAAGAGAATCCAGAAAAGGGTTATCATCGTTTGTCACCTGAACAAACTGTCGGTTTGCGTCATGCTGGCTACGTGATTCGTGTGACAGAGGTGAAGAAAGACACCACAGGACAAGTTCAAGAATTGATTTGTTCATGTGAGAGTTCGGAAAAGGCGGGCAAACCAAAAGCATTCATTCAATGGGTATCGCAACCAAAACAAATCCAAGTGCGATTGTACGAACAATTATTTTTGCATAAGAATCCCGAAGATTCAAATGAAGTACCAAATGGTTATTTGAGCGATTGCAATCCAAATTCGTTGAAGATTGTCACTTCCTACACAGATGCATCATTATTGGACAATTTAAAGGTGTACGATCGCTTCCAATTTGAACGAATTGGATTTTTCAGTGTTGATCCGGATACAAGTAAATCGTGTGCCGTTTTCAATCGAACAGTGACATTAAAAGAAGACGCTGGAAAAAATTAATTCACAACAAACACGAATTCTTGAACCGAATCCAATGTATGCAATTTTAATACAGATAAAAATAATAAAACATTCAATCATTTCGATGTCTGTATGAATTGTTTTACTTATTTTATTCCTTGAGATAATCACATTTATTTTACAAAATTCTTAGACACTATTTTCTGTTCGGATGTAATTAGGTGAGCAAATCAATATCATTATCGCTGTACACATCATCATTATCGTCAGATTCACCACCGTCGGAATCGGCATTTTCATCAAAATGTACATTGCGTTGTCGATACGACTGAAAAAATGAATTTGGATCCAAAAGTGCGCTGCCAGACGGCAACAACGATATATTATCGGCAATTATCTTCTTGCGTATCGCCAGCCGTTCTTCTGCATGTTTTTCCAATTGTTCGCGTAGTTTTTCTTGATGTTGTTTTTCCATTTCGATTGATTCGTGTAGTGTAATCAATTTAACAGCATTGTTCCGTAGATTTGGTGGTGTGGCAGACGTGACTTCCCAATGTTTACCATGCTTTCGTTGTTTTTCCTTTTCAATGTTGTGTGCATCACCTTTTGTTGTTCGAAATGGTAGAAATTTTTGTTTGATTTTTGCATTTGGATCAAACGCTTTATCCATTTTAATCATATAAATGGCATGCGGTTCTAATTCAACCGAATCGCCAGTTTTATTCGTGTCATCATTGTTCGTTTCGTTGTTCATTGATTTAATGTCCGCCAAATCGGCTGCTGTGATGAGACTTTTTGGCGATTTTACTACTTTAACCAATTTTGTTTCGCGGCTTTGTGCAATTATTTTCAACGGATCGAATTCATCATCTTCATCGTTGTCACTGTTCAATGTGTCAGCTGCCACTAGAATTTGATCACCATTCATCTTTCCACCAGTCCATTCCATGTGTGTTAAAGTCTTGACACCTTTTTCAACAATATTCAATTCGGAAAACAGTTCGGCAGCTTTATCAATCACATTGCGTGCATTGATCTCTTGCATAATATTTTCGTACAATTTCTGAATTCGTTCACCTTTATCCGGTAATTTTGCCAAACGTGATCTGTTAAGTGACGCATGTCGTTTTAGTTTTAAATAGCATGGTTAAATTTTGTACACATGAACTTACTTGTTGGCCATCAATTTCAGTTGACGGTCACGCATTTCTAATAGCTGGACTTTTGTATATTTTGACAAATCATCGATATATTTGTCTTTTATCGCTGTTGGAAAATTTTCTGGTGTGAGTTTTTTCGACATTTTAAATGGTTTTACAAACGAATAATAATTTGAAATTGGGAATAACCACAGAGAATGGAATAATTTTGTGCAAAATATACAACCAATTGCTTGAGATACAATAACGTAATGTCAAATGCAGACTAATGTCAATGTGATGAGAACGGTTTATTGGGGTATGTTCAATGAACACATTGTGCAGAGGATGAACGCAATCGTATCATATTTTTTTGAAGCTTATTTCCAACGCACTTTTTTTATACGATAACAAATCAGTTTAAAATGATTTAATGGCATATTTGAGGCCCTATGCTTAAGCAAGGAGTTAAAGGAAAAAAAAATGGCATATTTATTAACCTCTTTGGTTATTGATATCGTGGTATAAATATAACTGGAATGAATCTGTGGAAAATTGTTGTTATAACACAAATAGGAAACGGTAAATAATAGATATGAATCAGTAATGTGCTTCTTTCGATTTGCTAGGAATTTTCGCCAAAAAAGTTAAGATAAAAAAAAAACGAAATTTGTTATTCAAATGAGAGAATTTTCTAGTTTTTGAAAAATCACCCCCCTGTAAAATGTAGCTCGCACATTACTGATGAATATAAACCATAAATATTAATACATGTTGTACATGGAAAATTCTTTACACTTTTCACAAAAGTTTGTATGCAAAATGTATTAATGAGCAGGGCTGAAAAAAAAAATGATTCAATGGATCAATGCGTAAATCGTAATTTTTAAATTGGCACAGATTTCGATTTATTTCTTGATCATTTTATTTTTCATATCCAAACGTTAACGTGTAGAACAAAGTACTACCATACCATTTGTAAATCTCAATGATTTTGTCTTTATGTATCGCATACCAACTTAAAAAAATATATGGATCATGAGCAGTAGTATTATTATTAGTAATTACAAACGGTAGTAATAATGTTAATACAAGAAAGTAAAAGCAATGGTGAGGCTTGGTGTATTGTGGTATGCGTTTATTCCCTCCACATTCCATATATACTCTTTTGAATGAAATTCAATCCCGGCTTACACACTCTCTCTACTACAACTCAAAAAATGTATACAGTTATTTGAAACATTTTACTGACTTGAAATCCATCTGAATAAGGCATGCGTTCATATTTAAATTTGCTTACGACCACGATAAGGTATGTGTACAAAAGTTCAGCTTAAGATACGGGTGATTCAGTCTTCTGGCGTCTTATCATAGAGTAACACATAGTTATAAAACCAAACGATTCGCAACTAAAATCAGTATCTCTTCCGTCTGGCTGTTTTGAGCTAAATGACAATTTATCATGTGATTTTCTCCATAGATAACTGATAAAATAAATCCAAAGCGTGAGGAGTATCTCTGTGAAGTAATTTAAAAGAAAAACCACATTGAAATTGTGTACAGTTACAGTTTATTTGTTGTTTTTACATCAATTACAAATTACATTGTGCAAAAAGAAGTTTGTAAAAATAGTGAAGACTTTTTAAAAAAATGGTTAAAAATGATGATAAAATTCGGCTGCTGCCAGCCAATGGCTCAGCTAAGAAGAATTATGTGAGTTTGAATTGAAAGTAGTGCCTTATACAATTTATTTAATTTGAAAATTTCAAATATGTGTCCATAACACAAATGTCATACACGCAAATTGAAATCATTTTATTACCACATCGAAAAAACTAAGAAACGCAACAAATGCAATACCGCGTGTATTTGTGTGGCTTCAATTTTATATATATTTCGTTTGCTTCGATTCTACCTGTTTGCAATCATTTTACCAGAACCAGAAGCGTAAAATACGCATATATCATGTTTCCAACGTTTCTTGGCCGTATTCTGTTTACATTGATTCTTAACAACTCATTCATTCTTATGTCCTACTGTGCGAGTATACGTTTTACTTTTAGATGTCAGAAAAAACTGTGTTCAACATTCCAAAATTCTATGTGAAAATCGGTCAGTACTCCAATTTCGATTGATTTCCATTCGTCATACGTTTTTGGACAATGAATTAGAAAGACCACATGTTAATGAACTTTTTATTTGGTTTTGTTTTAATTTAGATTGATTTTTTTTATCAAATGCACCTTATCACTTCTTGGTACACATCTTAAATATTGAGATTCCGATTATTTCATTCAAATGTAACATTAAGTGTCTACAGATAACAAGTCTCATTTTTGATGCGATGTATTTAAGTAATTATCTTAAGCAAACAATATGATAATTCCAAAAGCGAAACAATGAAATACTGGCTTGATTATTGTGTTACTTTTTTAATATGTCTCTCTGTCTCGCTGTCTCTCTGTCACTCTATGTATTCCAAATGTAGGATAGTATAACGCCACTCAGCACAGAGGTCATATCGGATTCGAATCACACAAAGACACCAACCAACTATGGAAGTGTAAGATATAATAGATGCGGTGAAAAGCTAAGCTATACATGGACGAATATCGATGTATTTGGCGAAGCACAAAATGTAAAAATTTCATCAGAGATGGGCGTATCATATTCGTCAACATTTTTATCGAGAATGAAATCGTGTTTTGATCGCGACTATCAACACATTCCACGGCCCAGAAAACATCTATTGAAAAATGTTTCCGGAGTTGCGTTCGCTGGCGAAATATTGGCAGTTATGGGTAAGCAAAAACGGATACAAAGATCTAAAAAAAATTAATGCAATCCAGCCAATTCCTTCTTGACACTGATACAGGGAGCAGTGGAGCTGGAAAAACAACGTTGCTAAATTCATTGGCATTTCGATCGCCAGCTGGAGTCTCGGTTTCGCATTCAGCTGTACGTGCTTTGAATGGAATTCCAGTGAATGCAAAACAGTTGCGATCAAGATGTGCGTACATTCAACAAGACGATCTTTTCATTGGATCTCTAACGGCCCGTGAACACTTGATATTTCAGGTTAGTTCTGTCTTTCCTTTAGAGAAAGAAGTTGGCTAGAGAAATTCTCCGAATTTATTTCACGGCTTTAGGCGTTGCTTCGATTGGATCGTCGAATGCCATACAAGGAAAAAATGCAAAAAGTTGATCAAGTCATAGCGGATTTATCGTTAACCAAATGCCAAAATACGATTATTGGAGTTACGGGACGCATAAAAGGTGTGTTGTATTCTTTGTTTAACTAAAATAAAATAAATAAAAACATTTCGATCGGACAGGACTATCGGGTGGTGAGCGAAAACGACTTTCATTCGCTTCAGAAGCATTAACCGATCCAAATCTTTTGCTGTGTGATGAGCCAACATCGGGTTTGGATTCATTTATGGCGCATAATGTGTTGCAAGTTTTGAAAAATTTGGCCGAAAAAGACAAGACGATCATTCTAACAATTCATCAGCCTTCGTCCGAAATTTTCGGCATGTTTGATAAGTTACTTTTAATGGCAAATGGTCGTGTAGCCTTTCTGGGCACACCCAATGAATCCAATGATTTTTTTGCATCACTTCAAGCACCATGCCCAACAAACTATAATCCAGCCGATTTTTTCGTTGAACGTCTCGCTGTTGTGCCTGGGAAAGAGGATGAGAGTCATGACACGATTCGCAAAATTTGCGATGCTTTCGCCGTTAGTGAATATCAAACGAAAATCAACGATGAAATTAATAAATTGCAATCAAATTCGAATGCATTGAAATGGACGAACGGTAGCAATGGAAATGGCGTTGAAGGTTATCGCGTTTCATGGTGGGCTCAATTTCGTGCAATTCTATGGCGATCATGGCTTACGGTTCTAAAAGAACCACTTCTTGTTCGCGTCAGACTTCTTCAAACGGTGGTATGCTTCATTACTTGACCTCCATTTTCAATTTTCTTTTATACCGCAAACTTTAATTTACTTCTTAGTTGGTCGCTCTTGTTGTCGGCGTCATTTTTTATGGCCAAGAGCTAACACAGGACGGTGTTATGAATATCAACGGAGCCATTTTTCTATTTCTAACAAATATGACATTTCAAAATGTATTCTCTGTTGCCAATGTAAGTTGAATTTTGATTTATTAAATATTTATGCATTTTTGTTAATCGTCGGTGATTTTCAGGTATTTTGTGCTGAATTGCCGGTATTTTTGAGAGAACATCGTAGTCGTTTGTATCGAACTGATGCATACTTTCTTGGAAAATCACTATCTGAATTTCCACTGTTTATGCTTGTGCCAGTTATTTTCACGTCTATAGCATATCCTATGATTGGGTTAAGACCTACGTATACTAATTTTGCTATAGCTCTTGCCATTGTTGTTTTAGTTGCAAATGTTTCAACGTCCTTTGGTAAATTTGTTTATAATAATAATAATAATAATAATAATAGTGTATAAAATGAATGACATTTTGTTTGTTTTAGGTTATTTGATATCTTGTTGCAGTTCTTCGATTTCGATGGCATTGTCAATTGGACCACCACTTATAATTCCATTCTTGTTATTCGGAGGATTCTTTTTGAATAGTGGCTCGGTTCCAGTCTATTTCAAATGGCTTTCATATCTGTCTTGGTTTCGCTATGGGAACGAAGCACTTTTGATCAATCAATGGGGCGATGTTGTATGTTTGTATTCGTTTAATGCTATCAAACAAAATTGATGTTATTGATTTTTCTTTTTGCAGGGACCGGGTGAAATTAAATGCAACCGTTTGAATGCAACATGTCCAGCAGATGGCCGTGTTGTATTACAAATTCTCAATTTTGATGTGGTACGTAAAAGTTCGTTTTGTTTTTTAATTTTATATTGGCATCACATTTAAACATTCATTTCTCTTTTTTGGTAGAATGACTTCGTCTATGATTTTATTGGTTTGGCCGCTTTGATCATTGGCTTTCGTTTCTTTGCTTTCATTGCATTGGTTTTTCGAGCCAGAAGCAAAGAATAACTTGATGTTGTAATCATACATTATTCTTAATCAGTTTTACTGTAAATATTTTTATTTTCATTTTCCACAAAATTTCTCTGTAATTTTCAAATGTTTTGAATATTAAACTAACGGATTCACTAAAAGTATATTTCTTTGTATTTGAATATGTATTATTGCCATGATTATGGTTGAATGTAGATCAATAAATCAACTGTCGAATCAACTGTCGCATTATGATTTTCCAATACACAGGGTGTCTCATATATCAGGCTCACTATCTGGACGTGCGAATTTTGAAAAACCCTTTGCTGGAGGTAAAAAATGGAAAATTTCTATCGGAGCAGAACTACCCCAGTTTTGAAAAATGGGGTACATCCCCTACCTGAAAGAGTGTCAAAATGTTCATATGAAAACTAGTCGAGCGATAAAATTCAATAGAAAACCATGGTGCAGCATGATTCAAAAGATAAGGAGGCTTGAATATTATGAATATTATGCATACTGGTTTGCAATGCTGCCATACTCATCACATAATCGTCGTGCTTTCACGTTCTATGTGTATCAGAGCAAAAGAGATAAATATTTTCACTACAGAATAATCAATTACATCGGAATAAATCTAGTGAAACTACAACTGTTGACACCATTCACATGACAAAGGAGAGAATTCTTTCAGTTTGATGGAGGATTTATATTAGTTTGCGAAAACATTGTGATTCACCGTTAATTCAATTTTTTCGAGAAAAAAATTATCATATGGCTTCGTGATTAAAATTTAAAAAGCACGCACCACATTCGACAAATGTTGAACAGTGTCTAAATCGTTCTAGGTTTTGTATCAACAAGTTCCTTAAAATTCGTTACATGCACGGATGTATGAACGATTGTACATTAGATGTATGTTTGTATACATCAGAGCATATACTGAGCATAGATATATATCCGGGATATTTTGTGAGTATCCGATATTCATCGCAGCCAGACATTATAATGGAGTGAAAACAATAGAAGTGATTGTTATAGGTCTAAGTATAAAACCATTTACATTACTACAATCACTATAACAATAACTTCTATTGTTTTTACTCTATTTCAAAGTCTAGCTCCAATGAATATCGGATACTGACAAAATATCCAGGATATATATCTATGCTTAGTATATGCTCTGGTATACATAGTATAATACATGTTGTAGGGTGCAGTGATTGCGATAAATTCTGATGTTTTGACTTGCCCAATTCACAAAATATGATTCATATTAAAATTAATGTGAGTCAATCAAAGCAACGTAAAAGTACAAAATTTCATTCAAGTACAAAGTTTATATTTTTGAAGTAAAAAAAAAAATTATTTCTTCGAAGTATTTACTTTTCTTCATGGTAATCTTTTTAAGTACTGCTCATAACTTCACTATATGAAAAAAAACGAATCACTCTATTGGACGGATAGTCATTGGATGAAAATTTTCCACATTTTTGAAAAGGAGGCGGTGACATTACTGAATCGTATCTCACATACAATAAATCGATTTTATTTATGAATATTGCTTCCAATGCTATGAATACCATAAATTTCAATATACTCCTCAATGTACTTCTTAAACCAAATTTTTGCTATTGGACGATATGTTTTATAATAATCTACATAGCAAATTCTAACAGCGCAACTCAACATAGCAAAATGGGAATATATATCGGGCGATAAATAGTTTTTTAATGCAACAATTCCATAATAGAGTAGAAATGATCTAAACTCTGTGCCTTTCCAAAAACTCAGATCGTTCAGTCCACGTACTGCTCTATGAATCTCTTTTGGTTTGTTCTTGTTAAATCGTTTTAATCGTACACTTATTTGCTCAATCTCTCGTTTTGTCCACTTCATGTTATAGCCATTATCGTTTTTTGTCCAAATCGTCAAACACCTTGAATGATAATTGAAAAAATTATAATATATGAACATAATTGGTAAATATAAAATTATATATACTTTTTCATCACTCCCAATTCGAGCAAATGTAGTGGATCGGAAGTGGGAAATGACAGTACCATGTCTATGGGTAGTTCTTGCATGATTGAGTATTGTTTGTGGTGATTTGTTTGACGATCATCACTTTGTTCAAGACATCGAAAATTACTGTCAGTCCGTAAATCTTCAATAATTCTAGTAAAACTCATGCGATGGCAATTTATATAATATGTCCCTTCAGTTAAATATTTTTGACATCCGAACTTGTGGTTATAGTTGACTGTCCCTGAAAAATATTACTATTTGCAAGCATTACACAGTGCTCATTGGGAGCCTTTATATAGTTTTTCCACGTTTCATCATGACAAGCATTCAAAAATCACAGTGATACTAATCTATGCATATAATATAGGACTATGTAATGTGCGTTTGTCTTGATTTGTCCACTGAGGGGGTTGTTTCGGTGAGGAGAAAAATGTTTTCAACCACAAAGATATTTTTGTGATAAAAGTAGCTTTTTGACCAAAAAACTTTTACTCCTTATTTGAAGAAGAGGTTCCCCGCACTTCCCTTCTCATGTCTGCCCGCTATTCCATCTACTGCATAGGAATAATCCCTGATGATTATATTTCGCTGGATATTTCGTGATTTCTAAGAAATTTGTGAAAAGAAACCTCAAATGAAAAAACCATATTCAATTGTATATAAAATGTTGGAAAATGAAGGCCACAACAATCAGAAAATCGATCGGAAATATTTCCAACGTAACAAACTGCAGTCAATAACTGAATCAAATGGGCGATTTGCAGCACTATGTTTTTTTAAGTAGATTTTTAAGAACTTTGAGAATTGGACAAGATTCAAACCATCTTGAGACATAAATCATTTTATATTAATTTACGTATTTTTTTATTTATTCATGTTTTAATTTATTTACAATTTGAATAAAATTATAACTAAAGTAAAATATTATTTGGGTATGAATATGAAGCTTACCATAATTGATTGAATAAATTACAATAAGAATTGTTTCGATTTTTAAAAAAATGAATGATCTAATTCGATAAAAAAAACTGTTTAACAATTAAAATTTTAGTATCAATATGCAATATGCATTAATCTATAGAGATTTAGCGAAATATGTAATACAATGCAACTCATTAGACGTTTTAGTCGAGCACAAAAATTTTCAAATATTATTACACTGATTTTCAATAGAGATATCAAATATTTATTACATCTTGTCGGGTTGTCGTCATCATCAACAGCACTTCGAGATGCTTGTGTCGGCAAAGAAATTTTTTGAAATGTGTTTACATTGATCAAATGTCGATAAATTTTATGTACATTTATGTATGCATGTCAAATAATTTAGCCAATTCATTTATTTCAGTTGGACCGTCATATTGTTTGTCTTGACTAAGAACTTGACGTGCGATATTAATGCGATCGAATACATTCCATAAAACAATACCGACAATCTTTTCATTTTCCATGTAAAATACAACGCCTTTTGAAAAGTCATCTTTTTCTCCATCCAATTCGGCAGCATGTACGGATGGTAAAACGCTTGATTTTGAATTTGAAGCCGATTCTGATGGTTGCTTTTTCACGAAAACGCTAACTGTTGGCAATTTTGAATCGATTTTACCTAAGCCCTCGTAAGATACTTGTGGACCCAAATCGGACCAGAACATTGATTGATGTGTGTATGGATTTTTGTCTAATAAAATCAAACAAATTTTATTAAAATTAAAATCAGAAAAAAAAATAATGTTATCGATATAACTTACTCGTGCCAAGCATATTTTCGCCAGCTAATCGACCACTCACAACAGCATGGTCATGATGTTCAACTCGACGTCGACCGAGAATTGGATCGTAAAAGCTTGCAGCGTCACCAGCCTGAAAAGAAAATATGAAGAAGAAAAACCTCAATACGTTGCTCATCACATAGAAAAGTAAAAAAAAACATGTTTAACATTTATTCGGTACTCACAACAAACAAATGGTTTCTGGCCTCAAGTTCAGCATTTACTAAAAAGCCACCATGATCTTTGTCCACTTCCAAACCAGATTCTTTTGCCAAACTTATGTTTGGTGAACTGCCAACCGCCACGACAATATGATCACAAATAACCGATTGACCATTACAGAAGGTTAATTTAATTCGATTATTATTGCCCAAAAGTTCAACTGATTTAATTTCTGTATTCGGGATGACATTAACACCCAGATCACGTACACGTTCCGTAGTCCATTTGCTTAAGAATTCCGGCAGAATTTTTCCCATATTCCCTTGTTCATGAAACACCTGATGCACTTGCAGTTTTTTCTCCTGACCTGTATACACGAAAGGAAATTTATTTTAATAAAATCTTTAACCCGCAGAAACTGATGTTATTTAAAAAAATTAAAACATACCATATTTGGCCAGACCGCATGCCAATTCACTGCCTAAAAACCCACCACCAACGATTGCAATTGATTTCGATTGATCGACATATTTCTTCAAATTGCTGTAATCGTCGATGGTTTTGAATAATGAAATGCGTTTTTTCACTTCAGTCGGTGCATTTTCAAAAACGGGTAAGTTTCTTGGCGATGATCCGGTTGCAATTAAACATGAACCATATTGAATTTCTGTACCATCGGTTAAAATGGCCGTACGATTTTCAACGTCAACTTTTTTCACCGTATATCCTTGCACGATGGCAACACCTCCATCATTGGATTCTTCCATTAATTTTGATGGATGAATATAAAATTCGTTTGGTTCATAATGTAGATCACGATCTAATCCATTCCACTGTTTGAATGTTAACGGTAGCACATCATTTCTTTTACCAGTATGTACTTCCTGGTCGATCCAGAGCTCTTTAGATAACGGTGGTCGCATATATGGAGTATCAAGCTCCTTTGACAACACTAAAATTTTCGCTTTGGGATCTTTTTCTTGAATCGCTCGAAATGCACTAAAACTGGCAGTTCCACCGCCAATAATTAGGTACGGCACTTGACTCGGTATTTCAGATGATGTCAGTGGTACTTTTGCTATATAACAAAAACGTATTTTTTTTTACATTAACACAAATCAAAATTGATTTTATTTCACAGCAGAAAAAAATGGAGACGAACAAAAAAAAAATTAAACAAACTTACGTTTTTTCGATTGACCCGATTTCTCTGAATCATGAAATGTGATGGTTTTTTTAATTTTTGAATTGTATACAATGTAAGCACCGCCAACATTAATACCAAGAATAAATGCAAGTGCAGCTATCCAAACGCCTTCATTTTGTGATGAGTATGTTGATGGCGGTGGTAATTGAATCGAACTGTAACCAGAATTTTGTTGTTGACTAAGAACTGGCTCATATTCATGAGCGAGTTTCTTTGTCTTCAAATTGTCCGCATTTATTGTTCCATTATTTTTATCAGTCAAACCGCCATTTGTCGCACTAACGACCATACGGACTTGAGAGCCTATTTAGGGAAAAAATGACATAAATAATAATAGTTTCATTTCGAAATATGCTTTTATCATTATATTTGAATATAAAAACTGTTTTCAATTATATTTTCTCTCAACTTCCTGAGAAAAAAAATTCAAAAAAATCGACGCAATATATTACCTGGTTGATTTTTTGGTGTGCAAAGTCTTTGCGATATTAATTTTGTAGGTAAATGTTTTAAGCGTAGTAAGCACATTTTTTCAAATACTTTTTTGTCTCTCTTTTTTAAAATGGCACTATTTTCAACAAAGCTGACGAGTTTCTATTACGTGTTTGAATAAATTTACCGTAATTTATGCAAAGTCAATGTTGCAGCGTCACCTTTTTCGATGAAATTATATTTCGCCTCGACGCTATTTTTAATGTTCAAAACTTGATACTTTATTATCTTTAAATAATAGAAAAATTTTCCATTCTAATTTCAATTTAATTCAAATCACAAAAAAAATACGCACGAAATCACAAATGTCAAAATGTTAATTTAATATCACCAAAATAAACAAGAATCGCTTCCGAAAGATTGCTCTACGTGCGTTGTGTTCAACAGCAAATCTTCGTTTGTTTTCATTTTGAGTTGACCTCATAACGAGACTAGAAATGTCATTTATGTTTTGATGCTTTGTCTGATAAACACCATTAAATACAAATCGATTTTAACATAATGACTGAATGTTCACTCAAAAACAAGCACTTTTTCATCGTAATTTGACGAAATTTGACCAAGAATGTGCACTGAGTTAATGTTTTATTGTGAAAATTGCAAGTTAAAATGCTCATACACGCCCAAACAAAGAAAGAGTAGTACGTGCATTTCTGCACGTATGCACCTTAGCATCATTCTTAATTTGTATCAAAACATTGTACGTTTGCGCGAAACTAGCCCAAACTGTCAAATTTTAGCCCAAATGTCAAGATACATGGATATTGGTAGTTCTGTTATATGAATAAGTTGGTTATTTTCAGAAAACTATTAATTTTCTTTTATTATTATTTTGCAGTCAGTTAGATCAGTTTTAAAATAAAAAAACGTAAAAAGCTATGGACTACATTTTGTTGCCCTTTCTTCATATTTAAATCCAGATCACGACTACAACTTGCTTATTTTTATTTTCAGTTCAAAAATAAATGATAACTCGTAGTTTCGTTGACTATGGTTTCGGTTAAATGATTTATTTTTGTAAATTTTAATTTTTTGTTTCGATTACATTCAACATTTAATAACATCATCTCTAAAACGTTCTAACAGCAAAACACTTATGTATTATGGTGTGTGCGTATAATTGTATATTTAAAATGTTGCTGTCAATTTAAATTGAATAAAATTGTGTAGCCGTTGACGATTGTAATTCAATTTGTCCCATTTTGAATTGTAATTTTTGAAGGAATTTCAATAGTGCTTCCGATTGATGAACGTCTGGATCTTCTAAATCTTGTTCAAAGTCTCGAACCGCTTTTAATCGCTGCTGTAAAGTGGCCGATAGTTGTGTATGGGATGAGAGAACTGGGCTCCATAAAGGTAACAATTTGGTTAGAATTGTGCACCGTGTTTCTTTTAATGCTTCCAACAAGTTGATGAAATGTAAATTCACCATTTCTGACATCTGAAACGTAATAAAAATCGTTTAATCGTTTTTCGCAGATGTTTTGATTTTTAATCATGTTTTTTCTTACCATTTTCGATGATGATACCAATGATAAAATGCACGGCGTTACTTTTCCCCAGAATTCAATCAATATGCTCATGGTAATGTTTTGCGAATCTGATGATGGTGCATTTAGATAAGAGATTTGCTCCAAATAAACGGACCACAATTGACACAAAGTGAAAGCATGAAATAGTGATGACATATGAAGAACCGATGTTGCCATTCTCGATTGTTCGACAAAACCAGCAAAAACCACTTGAATATGATCGGCAATATGACAACTGGCCTCTTGTGGTATTGGCTGGGCGACAGTATGGCATTGCATGTGATAGTGAACGGAAGCTCCATGTTGGCCAATATTACCCGCTTTCTTTGACATCAATGCATGATGAGTGAGTGCTCCTAATAATAACCACGAAAGTAACCGCATATGACTGATGCATTCGGAAAATTCTTTCGGTCCTTGTTGGATTGATGACGGTGCATTATATAGCCATGGCTGAAATGAAAATGGAGATTTTTAAAAAAATGTCATTGTTCACTAATCAGAGTAAGGCTAAATACCAAATATCTTGCGACTGGTTTATTATCTCTTGAATTGTTACGAGACATTTCCAACGCCAAATATTGTGCGATTGCTCCCTTTAATACTCCGCCCAGCGTGTCTTCATTCAGATCATTTGAACTCTTGAAATTCTTGATTTTGTTTAATGTATGAAAATCGGCCAAAAAGTCAAAGCTATCATTCAGATACTGACGCATACATTCGGTTGCATTTGTTGTATAAGCCGGCGGTTGTTCTGGCAAATCGGCAATAATTCCCTTTGGTAAACAGCCTCCGGCATCCTCCAATAAAAAACCGACCAATAGCAATAGATTTCCGTCGGGAATGTTAGTTTTGAATTTTAACGCCTGAACTAATTCGAACATGAATTGTCTACACAATTGATGCTTGTCACGCTCTTTTGAAAATGCACGTGCACTCAAATGACAAATATCATTCAAAACTTTGTATTGAAGCGTCGCATGTTGAACACAATGACTGATCACCTTGCAGAATGGATCCAATATACCCTAAAAACAATGGAGAGCGAGAGGTAGAAAATCAATGTCAACAATGGCAATTCGTTTGTATTTAAGTGATTACCTTCTGCATAGCTGGAATTTTCAAAACGGCCACAATTGTATTCAGCAAATAGTCCGGACTAATCAAATTGTTCAATATTAATACCAAACGTTTGAATAATGTATCTATACGTTCATAGGCTAGTGCCCAATCTTTGGTTAGGATTCCAGCATCAGTTGGAATACAACTCAAATATTCGCCCATGTTACGAAGAGTAGCGGGCAATGTGTCCATCGGCAATGTTTTCTTTGAATTCAATGATTCAACAAGTAACAGAATTGGGCTCATCGGATTTAATTCGTTAAAATCCATCAATGCACGGGCAATGCTTTTAAAATACTTTTTACGTTGACGTTCTAATTGAAAAGAGATTTGAATAATTATGATTTTTCCTCTTACTTTAGACATATACACAAAAATGCCACATACCTTTCATTTGAGTCAAAAACATTTGCACAAAAATGCCATTCGGTGCAAGTTGATGAAGCACACAACGAATAAATTGATGCGCAACTGATTGCGAATTACCAGGAATCTCATATTGCCACGGAAATTTCACGTGACTAGCATATCTGTAATTATATAAAATTCCGTATAAAATTGCAAAACAGTTGAGACGATTGACACTCACTTGCAAGAGATGACAAGGATTTCTGGTAAGAAAGAGGCGGCAAGTCGAGGCTCTCGATGAATGAATGTATTCAAAATTGTAATCATTATTCCAATCTCTTCGTCGCTGTACTCTTCTATTTCAGTACCACATTCTTGACAACGATTACATATTTTATCCTCTTTATTTGGAGTCGTTTGTGGAATCTAGTGATAAAAATGCCATTTAAACAAGTGAACCAAATAAATATTCAATATTGCCTTACTTGTTGTTTCTGTCCGCTGGTTGCTGTTGTTGGGTGTGCAGATGTGTTATTATTTTCTGAATCGGACTCGTATTGTGGTGGCGCCCATGATCCAGCATACTTGATTCGACTATCTGGAATTGATTGTGAGTGGACTACGAACGGCCCGGTTTTTCGCAAACGTCGCTGTGATAATATTGAATCTTTTCCGGCTGCTGTAGCGAATGGTGTACCACAGCAGTTACCACTGGCTAATGCATTTGACGATTGAGCCTCACTTGATGGCGACTCAAATGCCGATTGTTTCATCAAACGTCGCGGTGAATTCGCTTGGCTGCTATGTGTAATGTCGTTTCCGGTACTCTTTTGAAAAACACAATCAAATGAACAAAAAATACACGTAAATGGCATTTAACTGTAAAAATTACCTCTGATTTTTCGAATGAACTCTCTTGTTTTAAATGACTTATTTCGCTTATGGAAAGAACTTCACGAACTTTATCGGCAAGCGTATCTTTGGCATGTTGGCCGATCGGCAATAAACGTTCTGGCGTCGGAAATTCCAATTGGCTAACGCTTTTTGGTGATAATAAGTCAAAATTTTCTTGTGTCTGTGAAGTGTTTGGCAATGGATTTGGCATGATGTTCATTTTTGATAAAGGTGATTCGGGCGATCCAATTTCAGCGATTTTGTCGAACGTTTTGAGCATGGGTCGAGATTTAACATCTTCGCCTGAAACTGATACTGGTGTGGTTGATGGTGTTACGCTTGGTTCAATCACACGTTTCTGTCGTCCTAATGTTCGTGGAGTTGGTGAAATTGTTTTTTGCTCCACCCAATTTAGATCTGAAAAAAAAAACATATTTTTTTTTTCATGAAAAAAACGAATGATAGAGAATTAAAGAAGAGGGATGCAAATTTATATACTTGTTGTATTGGCTGAACTCATTGCAATTTGTTTGGCAACTGATGCTGATGCTTCTGTAATCAATGAACCGATTGCACTCTTCGAGCTATCAACTTCTGAAGTGTCTTTCGAGTCTTTTGTATCAGTTTTCGATTCAGTATCTCGTCTCGCTTTGCCATCTTGTGTGATAACAACCGATTTTTGTACATTTATCGGTTGATTTATTGGAGCTGTTTCAATTGGACCTTGTGGCGTCATAAAAATGGAGGGACAAACCATCATGCGCACACCTTCTTGTACGCTGCACTTGCTTGTTACAGTTTTCGATGAATCAGCGCTTGATTGTTTTGAATGTTTATCCAAACTATTCAATTTCATGAATAAGCGTGATGTCTTTTTTGTTTCTTTCTCTTTTTCCTCTTTTGGTTCAACGACACTTAACGTGGACAGTGCAACTTGTGCCGTTGAAATGTTGGCCGTTGTAACTTTTCCTTTGATTTGATCACTTTTGGTCGATGAATGTGCCATTTCATCGAAATGAGATCCATCGTCGAATGAACCGGGAACGCTGTTATGCAGTGTACTCTCGGATAAATCACTTTCGGGTATTGCAACCAATTCGGATTCCGTATCATCAGCTTCTAAGCTTGAATCTTGATATTTTCTACTAAAACTTTGGCTTGACTTTTGCGTATGAAGTGTTTTTCCTTTGGCCGTTCCGCTTGTTCCTTCCGAACCGATAAATGGGCTTATTGGCGGTGTTGGCTCATCTCGATCGCGTTCATCACGATCGCCCATTCCATTCAGCGATGGTTGACTCATATCTTTAAAAACAAAATCAAAATCAAAAATGGCTGAAAAATCAAATAAATTCATTCACTCTCACCTCGTGATCGTGTGGGCATTTCCATTATTACCGTAGCCGGTATTCGTTTGCAACGATGAAATTGTGCCTCCAGTGAATTCAATACGATTCGAATCAAATGATGAACATTCTGACTGTACATCGGCTGTGTGTATTCATACTGGAAAGATATGGCCGTGTTTTGGTAACAATTTCTAATTGAAAATGTTGAAAAATATCTACCTTGTACATGATGACTTCAACTGCCATAAGCCAATGTCGACGAATATGTGATTCTAAACGCCATAGCGAATACGAATAAATAATATTGTGACTTGACTCTGAATTCACACTTGCCACCGTAGAGTTACTCGGACAATAGAGCAGTGTGTGCAAAACCGCTTCCAAGATACTGAAATCAAAGAATACACCAATTGTTGTTATTTTCGTCGACGAATATCTTGAGCACGAAACGCAAATATGTAGTTTGACTTACCTGGCGCCCATCAAATGATTTTGATCGAGCATTTGTGGCAAATTTGATAAAAATGCATTGAAAACTGACGATGTTCGAATTCGCTGTGGTGTTATATGAAATAGTTTATCGATTGGACTGTATCCAAGCAATAAATACAAATGTCGCATAACAATCAGCTGCATTCGAGATGTTGGCTTCTCTTCCGTTGGATAGGCTTGATCCGAACGTGACATAAATTGCATGATTAGAAACACCAATAAGTGCATCGTTTCCTTGTCCGATTCCTCAATGTCAATGATGCGGTATAAGCAATTTGTGATGTACGGATCTTCTGCCGGTCCACCAAATGAATGAACGTGGAAATCTATGTACAAAATGCAAACACTTTTAATTCGATGTTGATTTAAAAATTTGGAAAAAGAATTTTTTATTTGATATAGCATCCAATTGAGGGGTATTAAATATGTTTTCTATAGAAAAAAATGCGTTGGCCATACGCTTATGGTGGAATGCTTCAACAGAACATGCAAAGACGAACATAGTTACGAAAAAAAAACATATTAAACTACATTTGTATTTTAGATATAGATTTACTATGTAGATAGGATTTGAACTTTAATGTGTAAACTACATTTATTTACAAATATTTGTTTTCTTCACATTGCACTACTTCTCTTCAAATCCCATCATTTATTTTTTTTTATCTCAATGCACTAGTGAATAAGAAATGAAATATACAAAGAAATAACATACCGGATTCTGGCGATTTACTGACGTTTTACATGGATATGCTTTTTTCATACTGATTTTTCTTCAATGAGAACACACTTCATAAAATTTATTCATTTTCGATATGTTAGATGAACATATTTGAATGACACCAGATAAAAACAAAACACAACAAAAAAAACCGACTATATGGCAGACAAGTAGTTTGAAAATGACCAATATATGGGTAATAACGGTAGATAGACTTAATTGGGAATGATGAAACGATAAAATAATGTTATAACTTAAAAAAGGGGGCACAATCGAAACGAAAACAGATAGATTTAGTCTAACAAAGAAGGGTTGGAGTTTATAATACAGAAACTAGAACATTTACTATTAAGGTGACAATCAGAAAATCGATGGCATTGTTGTTTAGATCTAGGCGATGGATCAAGGTATTTGCATCACAGTTAACATCCAATTGATGGTAAAAATGTCAGAGATGGCCTCAAAATGGAATGGATTTTTTATACAGAGTTTTTGTAGTGTTTGGCATCAGTTTTATTGTAGATTACATACACAGAGAAATGGAAAAGGCTCCATATGGAATTAAACACGTTGAATAAAAGGTCTGAAGATAGTTAGGTGAGGACAGATTTTAATTGTGTGTATGTGTGTGACAGAGACAGACGGTGTGGTGTGTGAAGGTTATTTTATATGAATATGTTCAATTGTGACATTTATCGACTTAGGACGGACTTGATTCCATTGAAATACAATATTTAAAACTGAACGAAAACGAAAAAACAAAACTGAATGTTGAATGAAAGAAATGCGTTAGCATGCACTACGACCTACCTTGACCCCCCATATTATTGGAAAATGTAGGACCACATTGGTACTGTTTTTCACTCAGGATATTTGGTGTGGTGGGTGTTGTTGTGCCACCACCCGTTGACGTGGTCTGTGTCATGTGCATAGGATGATGCAAGTGATGTAAATGATGATGATGAACTTGTGAATGCGTATGGGGGGTGCTACCATGACCAACATTAGCAGAAGCTACATTAGCAGTATAAGCATTACTTGAACCCGATAAAAACTGACCCAATCCGAAGCGGCTACTCTTCCGTTTCAGTATCGGCGCTGAAATTTGGCGATTGTACACTTTCTCTGTAATATAGAAGCGATATACAAATAGAATGACATAAGGAATCATCATTGTATGTATTAATTATTTATGTTGTTCAATCATCTACATAAAATCGTAAAATGTGAATGATTTTACCAATTTTTGAATCCTGTCGCGGTGGTATGATGCTTGCTGGAGCTGACATAGTACGTTTATATGGCCACTTCGTGCCGAATGATGCACTCAACGTTTTAGCCATACTACATGTAGTATCTGATTGGCTGAGTGCTTCACGTGCTTTGCTTATTTTCGTTAAAAGCGCATCACTGCCAGTTTCGGAGTTTTTCAAATCGCGCAAATATGGAATGTCGCCAGTTTTTTCCAAACTGATTTGAGCCTCAACAAATAATGTATCGAAGCGATTCAAAAAGAAATCCCATCCTAAAACGCGACGATCTGACAGTGAATTGTGCAATTGATATAACGATTGCAAAACAACCGGACGATCAACGATAAATAAATCAAATTGTGACTCTAGACAAAATAACAGAGAATTTATCGCAGAGTCATGGATCGTCCCCAAATACAATGTGGCCCGTTGAGCCACATAAACACTAATGTCATCCATCGAAGCAATCAAATAGCAGAAAGCGGTTGCAAGTGCCGTTTGTAGGCCAACTTCACTGCGAATTGGCGTCGAGTCCATGAATCGAGTTATGACCGTCACACGTTCAACCGCTGAAAATCGTATACGCCAATCATGATCATGAAATTCCTCCTGTACAATGCGCCAAAATACATCTGATCCCAATGGCAAGGTGATGCAATGTAACAGCAACGGAACACAAACAGAAGCAATGTGCGAATGTTCTGCATTACACAAATTCCATAAACTGAAAATCGAAAAAAAATATCAGAGCTGTTATAGGCACCGGAGAAGGCAAAATTATTATTTATGTACCTTTTAATCAACAGATTTTCTTGACACCAAATGAAAAATCCACGGTGATCACGTGATGCGTCGCTCAGGGCATCACCATGCAATGCCAATACATTCAAACATTGTAACATAAAGTATAAAATGTCTGGTTTTTCGATGTTCGGCAATTCGACCAACAATTGATGAATATATTGCAATGATTGCGGCAATGCGTCCAGAGTTATTTTAAATTTTCCAACTGATGTATACCAAAAATCGTCACCATCTATATCGGAGTCATCGTCAGCGTTTTCATTGTGATCGACTATATCGAATGTTTCACTTTCAGCTTTGGCCGTCATCAGTTGTGGCTTTGCTACATGCGCTGTTGCAGATGCTGTTTCAGTTTCCGTAAGTGTGACAGATCGTGCAACAGCAGCTGGTAATACTTTTTCGGTTGGCATGATGGCAGCCAAATCCAATTGTTCTGCCACAGTTTCAACGGTTGCCGTCATTATCTATAGATTGAAAACCAAAATGCAAACATACAATTAATATTCACTCTAAATGTTTAAACGGTAATAGCAATAGTTCTATAGACTTTCAAAGAAAAAAAAACACTTTACGCGACACTTTCGAGTCCACAATAACAAATAGACGTAAAATGCTATGCACAATTCATTATGTTATCTGTATTAAATATATAAATTCTACACTATTCTGCTAAATGTGTTTTGTTTTTCTGAATGAAAGAGAATTTTGAAGACGTAAAAGAAACGCAAACCAAGCCATGTATTTAAACAAAGAAAAGTGGTGTGTTTTTATATATAGATTTTCATTGAAAATGTGTTCGAACCAAACGAAATAACAGAAAAATCAAAATTGTTAGAAGAAGAAAGAAAGCAAAACGAACGTTAAGAAACGAATAGAAAACGAGTATTTTGGAAACAAAATTATTTATGCAATGGTGAAGAAAACATATAGAACAGATCATACAGAAAGGTTATAGTTTTGAACGGTGGCGAATGTGAAACAGAATATATTTTTTTTTTTTCATTTCAAAATAGTGGTACAGCACAAACACAAAACCTACTCAATTTGCTTCTCGTACAAACGATACATTACAATTGTCCAGTCACGCTTTTCTTTATGTACATACCGAGTTGCGGCCGCGCTCTGGTGTGCTTTTAAACGGACTAAATGAGCGAATCGCTTATTGAGAAGGTGACCAAATAATAAAAAAAAAAAACAAATATGTGTTTTGAAACTAAGAGAAAATAACAAACAATTGTACAACAAAAAACAGTTGACTTTCAGTGCTTTCACACGCACACATACAAGATACTTTGAAACAAACAATTCTCTCGCAGTGATTTATTTTTTTATTACGAATATTTTTCTCGTTTTTTTTCTAAATCACTGGTAATATAAAGAACACAACAATTTCGAACAAAAAAAAGAGTTTATTAAAAATGTCTAAAAGAGAATTAGAAGATTATTTACAATTGTTTATAGAACTAAAAGAAAAAAAAACAAAGAATTTTCCATTTTTCTAAGAAAATTTGAAGAGAAACTCAAATTCAACAAATAAATAAACATGATTAAGAAATTGTGACATGAAGGAAAATGTGAGTGTGTAGTAAAAAATGTTTCGCAATAAACGCAATGAGAGGACATTTAGAAATTGAAACAATGTAAACAAAAAACAAACGAAATATAGGAATAAAATGTAAATTTATAAGGTAAAAATAATAGAATGATTGTACGACATCGATAACAACGAAAAAATTGCGATTTTTGATTTGATTTGGTGTTGGGGTGTTGCTTAATTTGATAAGTCTATTGAACAAAGTACCTCGTCTGTAGCATGAATAAATCGCGCTATCTCAGTTTCACTACGGCCGCGCTCAGACATCTAAAGAATAAAATGTGAAAAATGACTATAATTTCCAGAACTCATATTTCGTTTCTTGTTTTTGCCAAACAAAAAAAAAAAACTAAAAACAATATAAACTAAATGAAAATAAGCACAATGTCAAATTGACACTTTCGTTTTCACTTTCTTGCATTTATAAAAAAAAACAGTTGGAAAATAAAAATATATAAATGAATTTAACTTTAAAAATGAAAAAAAAAATTGTGTCTGTATGTGTTGTGTATTTTTTTGGTCGATTTGATTATTGGTTGACCGTCAAAAAACATTACTACGTCCTCAATCGATGGCAAAATTTTGAAAATCTTCACTAAATGTTCATTTAAAAAAATATTGATACGCTCTGCTTTAAAAATGCATTTCGATACCAAGGATTAAATATTCTTTTTTTTAAACCAGACAAAAAACCTCTTTAAATACATACAGAACAAACATGTGGCATGTGGACGAGAACTCCTCCAACCGAATGTGGTTCAGGTTGTTGAACAGGATTTATAGCAATTGGTACTGGACCTAAATTTACAAAACCAAATGAAAAGATAAAAACAAATATGTTCCATTAAAACTCGGATCAATTTGTATTGTGTGTGTACTTTTCTTTTCTATGATTTTGGAAAAGAAATGCCATGAATTTCTCTATTTAAAAGAAAATTCGAGCAAAATGTATCTGAATGGAACAATTTTCGCTACTGAGTCACTATTTCAAACAGTATGATGTTTCCAATTCTAATTAGTTTATCATTCATATTTCTATAGATGTCCGTTTCTACCGTTTTCAATTTTCATACTATGAGCTCGATATTAGGTTAAACGATTTCTAAGTAATCATTTTCTCTATCGAAATAATGACTAAGCTACAGTTTAAATTTTTGAAAAAATATTATTGAAATATTATTGCATTCAATATTTGTATTGTCTACAAAATATTGTGTGTTTGTGTGTAGTGTATCGTGTATATGTGTAAAAGATTAATAAATATGTGAAATTGTTTGTATAATTTCATTAAAATTGTGTCTGTGCAAAATTTGTTTGTATTGCTACTCTGAATGGCTTACTTAAACACTATAAAATTGTAATAAAGCGCTAAATTAATGGCAAGCTTAAGAAAATTGAGGAGGGGGAAGTGCAAATGAGCGCCAAATCGATTATTTCAATTTTTTATAGTTTGATTGATAAAAAAAAGCAACTACTCAAGTCAAACAAAACGAATTTCGTGTGAATCAGTAAAGTGCAGTACTATAAGAAATGCACAGTATATTGCTTTCATTCACCTGCCATAATAATTATTTTCCCCGGATCGTCTAAGATACTTGGCATTCTCCACATATCTTTTTTTTTGTTCATTTATAAGTAAGTAATTATGATTTGTTTTTTTTTTTTGTTTGTTTATTATTGCGAGTTTTATAACGCGTACACAGAGGAGAGGAGATTAATTTGAAAATAAATATTTTAGCAAAATTGTCTTCTTCTTCTTAATTGAAAAAGGCGACATTTATTTAAATATCTGTTCGCGCAATAACATTGATCAATACCATGAAACAACAAAGAACTTACCACCAAAGCCGAGAGGAAGTGGTATTGGCAGTGGTGCCATTGATAGAGATACATCACGATCTCTAGATTTATCTGAATCGGGCGGAGATTTGCGTGATGGTTTTTCATCTTCGATCACCTCTTCCACCGGTGGCTAAATAAAATAGAAAGATTAAAGTTGAGAAAATGATCAACAGATATTTTGCAGATAGAAACATTTACATCGGGTGGTCTAACTGGATTCTCTGGTGCAATAAATTGAACCAATTTAGTGGACAATTGATGCCACATTACGGACGCTTCACAGAAAGCACATTCGGACATCTGTTTTACTTTCATGGCGCATATATGATTACCCACACCAACTGCAGTCACCATACATTTTAACAAACGACACACATTTTCACAGACTTGCGTGTGAATGCCCGTGTGCTGTTCAACATCTTGCAATTCCATTTGCTTCAATAAAATGTCCAACATAAAAATACAACATGTCAGATTATGTTCGGAATCGGTTGAGAAATCGGCATTTTTTGAAGCTGGCGCTTCTTCATCGGACATGGCCGACGTATGACTTGATTCATCTTCAACAACTGGAGCTGAAAAAAAAATAGACGAAATTAGTCAAAAAAACTATTTGGTGGGATTTGATTTTAATGTGGTCCATGTCATTGGTCTTTTTTGTGTCACAGAACAAAAAATTATTAGACCTGTTAGTGGCACCGGAAATGTAAGTGCCATGTACTTATTCCATATAATTTTTTAAGTGCTGCATCTGAATACAAGAGACAGCAGCACTTACAAGAAAAGTACACGCACCTCTTCGGTGCCTATAACAGCCCTGTTTAAATCCCAGGTAAATTATGTTCATCGATTTCACACAAATTCACTTGTAAAAAGCACAAAAGCACGAAAAAGCCAGGTACAAAAAAACCGATCCCCTGACATTAACCGACTTTTATCTGAATTTTAACTTACAAATTGAGCTTCGACGCGGTGTAACACATTCACTGTCTTTTGATTGTGTTCTTTCATCTTCTTTCTCTTTCGATTTGGTGCCATGTTTCATGATACGTACACCGTTTCCAAACATACGAAACAATTGCGATAATGGTATTAGAATCTCAAGTTTGCTGATCACTTGAAGCCAATGTAGTGCTTGTTGTTGCACCTTAGCGGTTGTCTTTTCAAATCGAATCGAAATGAAATTGTACATTGTTTTCGCATCGAATCCCAATGGAGACATTTCAGGATCAAGTATTTTACTCAAAACAACTTTTAATTCGTGCAGTTCTTTTTCGGGTACATCATTTGTAATCGCTTCCATCCAGTATGGCATTACAACATCCCAAATTTCGGATGCGGAAATTACTTCATATGGAACTAAACAAATCAAGCGTTGTAACCCCTCTCTCAAATGACTTGTTCTTGAGGCCAGCGAATCCCTATATTATAATGATCACAGAAAAATATGTAAACAACATTAATTTGATCTGACCAAAAGTTACAAGCAAACAAAATCAAAAACTCACCAATGTCCTGTGGTCAAAATAATTGTGGGGATGAGACATTGATAAAAAAAGAGATTAATTTGATTTCAACAAAAATTCCAAGCGAATAAAGTTAGGAACTCACCGCCATTACGTGCATACTCTGGTGGATGTGGCAATAAACATGAAATAAACTCTTTGTAATGACTTTTGCAAATGTCTTTCAACCAACCGCATACATGTTCAACCTTCAATTTTTCAATGGTACTCTCAATTTCGCCATCGCTTGAGTACGCTGTTACATGGAACCAATGAAAGAGCATCGACAATAAACGGCCAAGTATTTCAACTGGCGTTTCTTGAGTGGGTGTACAACGTCCAACAAGCAACCAAATACCATATCGGCCGAGCAATTGACGTTCTTCAAGCGAAATATTATCAGGTGGCCCATGATATGGGAATGTTGTACGTGTATCGCTTGCATCTCGTCCCGGTTCAAAATTCAATGGTTTTGCTTCACGCAATAAACTGATCACTGCTTCAACCATATAGGTTTGCATTTCTGGTTCCATTTGCCAAGCAGATGATAAACTTTTGTGTACAATATGGTCGCCACCTCGACGACTGTTATGACGATTATTATGGCATTGAGTACAATAACGAATCGGATGGTTTCCATTGTAACTGGCACATTCAGTACTAAAACAAATTGAAATTGCTGATTTGTCCGTTGAACGACAATTCTGCAGAACGAAAGAGATGGAGAGATTTTTTTTAAATGAAAAGTTCAAAATTAGGATTTGCACTGAAATCGTACCTTATTTTCGCATATCATTGACACTTGAGCCATCGGATGCAAAATATCACCGAATAATTGATTGGGATTTTCGCGATGGATATCATTAGCGCATTCGATACAAAGATACAGTGGTGGTGGTGAGTCTGGCGCATATGTTATACTAATATTATGATCGTAACAGACCTTGGTTGCCTCAGCATTGCCGGAATTTGGACAACTTTCACGCTGGCACACAAACGGTATTAGGTCGTCTGTTTGAAATCAAAATGAGTAAATTTATATATGACAGTTCGGCACGCAATCACACAAGTACAGTTTACTTACTTGAGAATTTGAATAAAAGTCCGCGTCGATCAAATAGATTTGCATTGAATGCAGGCCAATAATAAAATAAAAGTTTCGCAGCGGATGATCGGGACAGAGCTGTACCATAAGCGATAACACAGAGAATATCTTTGACAACATTTTTTTTGTTTGCCATAAGGCATTCCAATAATTGACAATGATGCGCTGGATTATTGGAGTATTGAAAAACCATCATGATGACAGCCGAAACTGATTGACATGAATGGCATTCTTGGTCATCGTAACTGCCCTGTCTTGTTATTGTGAATGGTAAAATGTAGAAACAAAGTGAGTTTATGATCTCTTGGTGCAAAGATATTGGCAATACGGAAATGGCCGATGCCACTAAATACGGAATATTATCAATGAGATCCTTATCAAGAAATGGCAAAATACATCCCAAACATTGTAGAACCGCTTTTCCAAATACTAAACAAACGAAAATCAATAATATTAAATGGGAATGCGTCACATAAAAGATCCGAATTTCTCACCATTCAGCCCAAATTGAATGTTTGGTGCAACGTCTAAGAGCATTGCAAGTGCATTGTAGAGATTTCCATACTCCAGATTTGGATAGGCAGACATGCGTATGTGATCCTGTGAAGGATCCTGTATCATTTGATGCGGAGAATTTGGGACATCTTTCAAAACGGCTACACGCAAACAAAGAAAATTATTATTATTTTTTTTTTTTTTCAAATATACAAAAGCAAAGTCGTAAAAAAGCTGATACTCACTCAAAAATGTTTGCGAAAAATACTTGATGGTGTTGGCGATATCAACGCCGGACGGTGCAGGCAACACATTATGTAACAATCTCAAATGGTAGTCATGCAAACAACGGAGCTTGGCTTGAACTTACATTTTCAAGAAAAAAAAACAAAGATGTAAAAATTTATCAATATTTTTCATTTAATTACAATGCAACTTACAAGCTGCAGCCCGTGTGCCCATATTAATCAACTGAATCTTAAAACTGCCCGTCATTTTTTCATCAGCTTTTCCCTCAAATCAATCTATATGTTACGTAACATGTCTTGAGTCGAATTTAACTACTTATTTTTATCGAATACAACGAATTTTATGTCCACTTTGAAATTGTACACTGTTTCTCTCTATTAATGGATGTTTCTAAAACTTTTTAAATATAAATATGTAACAAATCTTTTATCAATTGCTGCGTAATTGAATCGAGTGTAAAGTAACAAAAAAAAAACTCCACACCCTTGTTTCCACGATTCATTCAATTGAAAACTCCGTGTGATGCGTGACTTTTACTCGGATTTTTTTACTATTTATTATCAAAAGTGAATTAGTTCTGATTAAATGAACAGAAATTAATTAGTTTTCACCTCATTTTCAAGAATGCGTACGGAAATGAAAAAAATTGCATCCTTTGCAAAACCACCCTCGTCAAATACCAGCACACAAATATGTCGGACATTGTGAGCAGAGAAGATTTTTCACATCTCGGAGCATGAGCAAGAAAAATCGATATTGACGGCGGATGCTATGTGTTATACGTTGTACGCTGTACATCAATATCTATATATCCAGTTGGATGCCATTCACTTTTCACCCGAGTCATGTGCAAATAACTTGAGATTTTTTTCCATCATCTCATTCCATGAATGAAATCAGCTGTTCAGCGAACAGAATGCCAGAGGGTGCGATGCCGGTTTTATTGAGCATGCCATGTGTTTACTAACAACAAAACCACGTGAGTATTCTCCAGGGGCTATAATTTCAAAAGCAGAATTATTTACTCGAACGGCGTAAGTAAAGGAGGCATGATTTACTGAACATTATATTTTGTATACTAATCATTGAGGCGAATTTTTTTTATAGTTTATTTGTTGTAATATAAATGTGAAAAGAACTTCATGCCCCAGTATTTTTGGACATATGAGGTATTTTATGGCCACAACGAATCATATAAAGTATGAATCGAAAGATTATCTCCTGAATATATCAGTATCAACGTAATTATCAATTGAATAAAAGAAAAATGTAAACAGAGGGAGAGTTAAATTAAAACTTGTTTTCATTTTCGCTTCTTTCTTTCTTTCGGGCGATTAAAAATAATCATTAAAAAAAAGGTTCACATTTCATAAATAGAAAACGTTGACCGCACCGTATTCGCGTATTATTGGAGGCCCGCATCCGTACACTGTTGTCAGCTGATTTTTTGATTTACGTATTCGTGCCTCTTTTGCTTCCTTATATCTCACTCGTTATATATATTTACTACTTTACGTCGCTAGCGGTGCGACGGTCTCTGTTTGTGTGCGATAATATAATAATCACGACGTTTGGTTCATCGTATGTTTCAGTTTTTATGCTGTGACGTTTTTCAGTCAGTTGGAATAGATTGTGGTGTTCGTACGCTTTTTATTTGTTTTATATTTAAAAATCTAAAAAATTCATCGAGGAAATATCGTAGATATGTCTTTTGTTCGCATAATTGGATCTGAGGTGATTTGATTTCTAAAACAACAATTTTTGTGTGAATTTTAAACATTTGTGATATTGAACGTGTTGTCAAAATTATTTTTGTATATTTTGTTTTTGACGCGATGAGATTTCTTATTCCATAATTTCAAAAAATGATTAAAAATAAGATCCAGAAGTTACATAACGAAATATGGAATGAAACTCGGTGTTATCATGGCATAGTTCTTATTTTTCTTCAAACGGCCGTGATAAGTATTAGGTTGATAACGATAAAGTTGTTTTGCATTTTACAGTCGACAAAAAAAACGGTTGATTTTTTTGTTGTCGAACTTGACACAAGAGAATTGATAACATTCTATTCAATTATGTACATTTGATATATTTTTTGGGCAAATGTTTACCCACCAATTCTACCATAGTTCAAATAAGTGAACTTCATTATTTGACACTGAAATGTCAAGCGAATGCATTGAAATTGTTGATTATTCAAATTGATTTGAACTTGAGTGGACACTGTGTTTAAATGCATAATATATTTGTTTCAATCACCTAAGTGTCACGATAATTGGGTTTACACAGCGGCTCCAATTTCAAATAGCTATTATAGTTTCTTTCCTTTTCTTCTTCTTCTTGCTATTTTCAAATGCAACTGAATCAATCTTTCATTTGTATGCATATAATTTTCCAATTAAAACACATTTGCCGTATATTGAAACTATTGCTTTTGCCACAAATATATATATTTACAACAACAGCATAGCAATCGAATAAAAAAATCAAAAGCGTAGAACCATAGACGTTGTAAACAAATTCACGCGTAAACAGCCTGCCGACCTAAATATAGTCGCTTGTTTGTGATACCACGTTGCTCCTGAATATGAGACAAACATTCCATATCGTTACAGATGCGTTCAGCTGTTGCTCGTCGCATGTTCTCAAGCAGCACTGCACCAACGACGAAACTCTTTATCGATGGCAAATTTGTTGAATCGAAAACAACCGAATGGCTTGATTTACACGATCCAGCCACCAATGAAGTGGTCACCCGTGTGCCAAAATCAACACAAAGTGAAATGTTGGCTGCAGTTGAATCGGCCAAAGCGGCATACAAATCATGGAGTCAAACATCGATATTGACACGTCAACAAGTTATGTTTAAATTGGCCCAAATAATTCGCTCAAATATGAAACTCTTGGCCGAAAATATCACAAAAGAACAGGGAAAGACATTAATCGATGCTGAAGGAGATGTACTGAGAGGATTGCAGGTTGTTGAACATATGTGCAGTATTACTAGTCTTCAAATGGGCGAAGTGGTGAACAACATTGCAAAAGATATGGATACATATTCATTAACACTTCCGCTAGGTGTAACAGCTGGTATCATCCCATTCAATTTTCCGGCTATGATTCCACTGTGAGTGCTTAGATTGATATTTTTCTAGAGAATTTTACTGATTCACTGATAATTTTTTCCACAGTTGGATCTTCCCCACAGCTATTACTTGCGGAAATACAAGGTAATTTACATAGCCACAACATTTTATGTCACATTTTAATGTGTCACTTCCAGTGTTTCATATATCGCTATCAGTATCTGTAAGATAACTGAGAGGGATATATTCAGCCAGATATGAGTGTCAAAATTGTGTCAAAATTGCATTAGACACGCTTACCATCTCCAATGTCTAATTTAGACAGTTTCATATCTGGCTGAATATATCCCTCTCAGTTATCTTACGGATACTGATAGCGATATATGAAACACTGGTCACTTCACGTTTCTCACATAAACCCAAGCTATTTTGATAACGAAATTTTTTCTTATTTCCAAGCATATTAAAACCGAGCGAGCGTGATCCAGGCGCCACGATGCTTTTGATGGAAATGTTGAACGAGGCCGGCTGCCCGCCAGGTAATTATTCTCACAGAAATGAAACGACAACAACAATAACACATATTTTTACTGTCAAAATTTTGATGTCAAATGGTGTCGACATTGGTGACGGTATTTTGAAACAGACTGTGTAATCCATATTCATCGTATATGATCCTATGTAAAGTTCTATACTTGATCTAGTTCACATTGACGGTTCAAATCGTTTATGTCCACTAGCGTGGACATGGACTGTGTGTTTCTTCTGTTACATGTACGTTGTAATGGACAAGTATAGTAACATGGCGTCGTTCAAATAAATTAAAAAATCCGTCCACTCGTGTCGACACCATCTAGCACGGTAGTAGGGATTTCATTGCTGTGATTATTCTCGTAGATATTGTTTTATGTAAAAGCCTCGAAAGATGAATGTAGTAGACACTGATACGTTTTTAATCTTTTTCTTTCATCTAACCAGGTGTTGTAAATGTCATTCATGGTACACATGATTCGGTGACATTTATTTGTGATAATCCCGATATCAAGGCAGTGTCATTCGTCGGTTCCGATCAGGCTGGTAAATATATTTACGAACGTGCAAGCCGCAATGGAAAACGTGTTCAATGCAATATGGGCGCAAAGAATCATGGTGTCATTATGCCAGATGCTAACAAAGAGAATACATTAAATCAATTGGCTGGTGCTGCATTTGGTGCGGCTGGACAACGGTGTATGGCCTTGTCGACGGCAGTATTTGTCGGTGAGGCAAACAATTGGATTGAAGATTTGGTGAAACGTGCAAAAAGCCTAAAGGTTAATGCTGGACATGTGGCTGGCACTGATGTGGGTCCGGTCATTAGTCCACAATCAAAACAACGCATTCACAATTTAATCGAGTCGGCCAATAAAGAAGGTGCCAAAATTATTCTCGATGGTCGAAACGTCAAAGTACCCGGATATGAAAATGGAAATTTCGTCGGTATGTATTTATATTGATGTAGAGATTGTAGAGTGACAATTTGATAAGTTAATCTTAATACAATTAATAGGACCAACAATTATAACAAATGTTAAACCGTCAATGGAGTGCTACAAAGAGGAAATTTTCGGTCCGGTTTTGGTTTGCTTGTCGGCTGATACTTTGGATGAAGCTATTGATATTGTGAACAATAATCCTTATGGTAATGGAACTGCCATATTTACAAACAATGGCGCTACGGCTCGTAAATTTGTTAATAAAATCGACGTAGGACAAGTCGGCGTAAACGTGCCCATCCCCGTGCCTTTGCCTATGTTCAGTTTCACCGGCACTCGAGGTAGTTTCTTAGGCGATAACCACTTTTACGGTAAACAAGGCATTAAATTTTACACACAAACCAGAACTGTCACCCAATTGTGGCGTGAAAGTGATGTCACTCATACAAAATCGGCCGTTGCAATGCCAACTATGAAATAAAGTTCTAAATTGGAGCTTCCACTTGAAATCGATTGAAAATATTCCAATCATTCTAAAGTATTCCAAAGAAAACAAAACATTACAAAGATGGATAAAGAGATTTTGATATATTTTTCGTTTAAATGTCATTTCAAATTTCCATATTTGTAATATTGTCAGGTTGAAAAAAAGGGAAAAAGTACATGTAAATTTGGTATGAATTCAATAAAAAATGGGAATGCAAATAAGTCAATTCAATAAAGTGTATTTATTTTTTAAAAAATATAGAAAAATATAAAAATTACAATACAATGATATTTACATATTATTTAAAAAGACACCATTGCATACAATGATTTTTGGATAGAATAGATCCGTAAGATCTCCGCAAGATCCGGATCCAAGCGTGCGTACGTAGCCGCATGATACATACATTCCTTACTCCGTAATGCTATGGCATGCGAATCAAAGAAGGGGAAATAAGAATAACGAATTTGCGTGCGTATTATATATGTATGCATCATGCGGCAGCGTACGCACGCTTGGATCTGGATCTTGCGGAGATCTTACGCATCTATCCTATCTAAAAATCATTGTATGCACCATTGGAATGTATGAGGCAATATTCTCACTTGAAATTAAATATTTAATTGAATCCATAGGGATTGGCATAAATGATACTTCTCAGGTCCTTCTTATTCAGTTAATCCGTAATTTAAAAAAAAAATCTTCATAAAATTAAAATACAAAACATTTTGCAATTGAGTATAAAATCAAAATGTTGAGAAAGTCATCTTGAAAAAGAAATGTATACGTAAATATATGAGGCATGTGTTTACATTTTACGTGAGTTTCTTATCATTTTGTTCATGTTTGAATATAAAAGTAGATACTTGAAATAGATTATAAGCGGTAATGCTCAAAATAATATAATTTAAGAAACCACCTGTAAAATATGTGTGAATCATCAACCATTTGCCGACGCTTGGCCCCCCGATAAACATCACATTCGAAATGCTTGAGGAAATAAGTAATTGACCACCAAGCAACGCATTTAATCGTTGAATATTATTGCTGCCGATCGGTTTCAATATTCTATTATACGATTCACTCTGTGCAATGTGCCTTCCAAACAGTTCAATGTATAAAGACGCCAAATTGAGAAACACCCAGACCAGCAAAAATATATAGTATCCATGCCAGAGATAGATAAATGCAAATGATATAAAACTGGCAAACAATTTTCGTGGCAGTGACGATGTTTTGGTGCACATTTCTGCATAAATATGTCTGAAAATATGCGCAATAATTAAAAATCTTAAATCTTTATTCCAAATATTCAAGTATTATTTTGTTTCAAAAATTCATTATCTTACTTGAACAAAAAGTCATGAAGTCCTTGGTCAAAATGCTTCCACATTTTCGAATACAAATGAATTCGTCCAACGCACATCGGTTTCTGCTGTGCATCGATCCGATCGAATTTGGCCACAGCCAATCCAAGTCCATAGGCTATTATGTATTTATTACAAAAATACTGCCCTATCGCATATGCAAATCCGTACACCGCCCAAAGGTTCATATGTTCCATTTGCTGAACAAAAAAGAAACGTTTACTTTAAATTTTGTTGAGAAAAAAACTCGAATTTTACAAATGGCTTACATCCGGATTGTAAATAACAACGTTGGCATAAATGAAATGCATACAAAACTCATTCAAAAAGTATAAGCATCCAATCCGAATCAACGCTACAAACAGCTCCTTCAATCGATACAGCGACTCTTCAATGCGAAACAATTTATTCTTTGGAAACATACTTGCGTATCGTTCATAAGTTAATGGAGGACCATGCAAATAAACCGGTAAATAAAATGAGTAGGCCAAATAGTTGAGCGTTGAAAAATAATCTCGTATTTGTTCGGAATTTTTTTGTGTGCATTTGTTTCGAGCATTACGGTAATCGATGGCAAAACTAGTCACTCGTAGCAATAACCATGAAAGTGCAATCATTGCATCACAAACTTCTTTTTCGGTGAGATATGGTGATAATCTCTCTTCCCACACGCTCTGCTTAAGCATATTCAAGATGGCCAACCAAACCATGGTTAACATCCAAACAAACGGCTTTCGCATCAGCATGGTCACATAATACGAAAATATCATTAGAAACATTGCAGCCGATACCAACGGCTTGAAGTTTGACGATACAAATATAATACCAATGGTGGCATGAATAAAGCAAATTCTCTGTAGAAGAAATATTATAGTTAAATTTCAATTCGAGAAATAATAAAAAATTAAAAAAATAAATTATTTACATGCGGTTCCACTTGCCGAACAATTTCTGATAGTAGCACATGGTAAATATACCATAACGTATACTTTTTTGTGTTCTCAACAAATGATTCCAATTCAGAGTCGTAGTCATCTCGTTTTCGACCAATAAACGACCAACCTTCAGAAAACGAATTCTCATTCTCTGGAATATCGATACCTGAATGAATTAAAAATAACGATATCAATGTGATATAAATTAAATAAAAAATAAAAATTAGCACTCACTCTGTCCATACTGAAACGCATGATAAATGGCATATATCAAGGCTATAACATACATAAATAACGAAATTAAAACTTCAAACGGTGGCAGTCTCATTATCACATTTTATTTTGCAAAACTTCGATACACAAAAAATACTATTCAATTTATTTTATCATTTTTCGGATTTGTATATAAAAAAGCCGATATTTGTTGTTATGTTTTAAGTTTTTCCATTGGAATGTAAACTGTCAAACCGCTGGATAAAAATAAGTGTCAGCATTTGCGGTAGAACAATGCTGGCAACCGTAAAATGTCAAATTACCGCCACTACGACAGTTCACATTCACATGGTGCAATGATAACAAATAACAACACAGTTTCAATTGGGCTCTGGATATTTTTCATACTCTGAAAAGCATTACATTACAGCCGGCGAACTGAAGAGATTTAATTCGATTGTTTGTTCTTTTAAAACGGTAAGCATTGAAATTAGCTATATTAAATAGATTTTTTTGAGTAATTTATTTATTTCTTTGCTGTTCTACAGACTAAATAAACGAGAATGGAGTTGAGTGTGCAAATAAAATGCCGAATATGTCGAACAGTTATAATGAAAGTATCTTCGGACAACTTGTTGGATGCCCATGCCAATCGATTTACAAAGGATCTCACACAAATTCAATCCAATTGTCCGTCAATCATTGGAAGAACCGAAATTTTTTTGAATGAAGATGCGCTTGACTCATGGATTCAAGACGAAATTGAACGATCCGAATGGACAAAAGGCAAATTGAAATGTGTAAAATGCACCGCAAATGTTGGTTCATTCGATTTTGTAGCTTGCCAAAAATGTGATTGTAAACAATTTAATCAACCGTCCGTACATTTTATACGCAGTAAAATCGATTTAGAAGATGTCAAATAAAATGTTTGGAACATGTTGAATATTAACCGAAAAAATGTATTTTTTTATTTCGTTTTTCGTCATTTATTTTTTATTTCGTTTGAATGTTGATGTTTTTCATGTTGGAAAATTAGATCGCTAACGTGATATAGACTATAAATTGCCAGGCTGAGAATCGAATAAGATAGTAATGTGTTGTTCACATAAGTTTCATACATAACATGTAAGAATATCTTATGGTCTGATAGGAATAGTAGAGCGAAAGCTGTTTGAAAAATAAGCAATTGACTACCAAAAATCTTATTAATTCTACTCATGTTACTTGAACCAATTACACTGGAAATGCGTTCATAAACTTTTGATTTGCAAATGTATCGACCCAAGAGTTCAATACATAATATAGCACAATTTGACCAGACCCAAAACAGTACCCAAATCGAACTGCCCGGACAATGCCAAAATGTAACAAATCCATACACCAAAAATCGACCACATTTATTCCAGTTTGTTGTTAAATTGCGGGTCGGAATATAAATGTATCTGAATGGAATTGAAAATGAAATTTATGTTATTAGATCACTTTTACATGTTTCCATGTCTGTTTTGTTAATTATCTTACTTGAGCACAAAATCATATAGGCCTTTATCCAAATGTCGCCACGTCAACGAGTTTTTGTGTATGCGCAAACAACATTTTGGCTTCGGTGGAGCATCAATACGATCGAATCTGGCAAGCGCACTGCCCAATTGATATTTCAACATATAAACAAACGAGAAATAGAGTCCAGTGCTTATAGCTAATCCATAAAGTGGCCAACCTTTCAGTTCCTTTACCAGCTAGAGCGGGAAAAAGTGTCGTAAATTAACAAGAAATAACAATAGATACACGCACCAACTTACATATGGATCATAGGAAATTGCTTCAGCATACAAATAGTGCATCATAACAATTGCGACAAAACTTGTACCAGCCAATCTCATTAATTCAATGAGTAAATTTTTTACGCGCTTTTGCAAGTCGCAATTTTTTCCCAATTTATTTTCGTTGATCATACTCAAGTAATTCATGTAAATGGTCGGTGGTCCTTGAGCGAAAAACGGCAAGTAAAAACTGAAAGCGATGAAATTGACCAAGGAAAATTTACGACCAAATTCGGCATTTTTCACAGAATTGTTCACATTTGACAACGCATCACAATAGTCAAGTGTGTAACTTGTAAGTCGTATTATTTGCCAACCAACAGCTGTTATTCCATTGAATATTTCAAGGTGTGTGACATTTTTTGAAATGAATTTTCTTGAACGCATATCAAATTTTACCAATCCAGCAAAACATAGCCATGCCAATAAGGTGAACCAAACAATTCTCTTTTTTGCCGATCGCATTGCAATATAAAATGATAGTAAGGCGGTGATCGATGTGGCTATGATAGGCATTTTGTATGTTGAAAATAAGAATGAAATCCCAAATATTGCGTGTACTACAGTAACTCTCTAAATTCAATGGAATATGAATTTAAGAAATTTTTGTTAAAATTATAACAGATTTGTAGTAATTTTCTTGTACCTCAGCGTTAATGTATCGCACAAATTCACAACAAATACAATGAAAAATCAACCAATAGAATGCAGACGATACATATTTGAAAAATTCAGTATATTCAGTTTCGAATTCTATGCTACTCAAAAAACTCCGTCCATATCTCGCGTAATATGATATTCCATATTTATTGTTGCCTGATAAAAGAATTGATATTGATTTTTTTGTTGTAATATTTTATTTTGTAATATGACACGCATAATCTCACCATTTCCGAAACGATAAAACTCAAACAACGCATACCCAATGGTGCTTATGTTTATAATTAAGAAGAAAATATCTTCTTTTGTTTTTAAAAATGTTTTCATCGTCTCGACTATAGCTTTTGCAAAGTAGAACTGAATCACATTTTTATAACTCTTTAAATTGCGACAAGTGTCTGTTTGAAAATCGACATTTATAATCCTTATTTATGTATTCAGAAAAATGTAAACACGTAATGTTTCAGAAATATTTCATTGGGAAAAAATATCCACACAGATGAATATTTTAATGTCATTGTACTAATATTATGAAATATTTCGTCATGGAAGTTTTTAAACGATTGAAAAAAATGTGTGAAATTTAAAAAATAAAAATAATTTTTCGAACAAAAAACAACACGAAAAAAAAAATACTGCGTCAACCGAGAATCGAACTCGGATCAACTGCTTGGAAGGCAACTATGCTAACCATTACACCATTGACGCACATGAATTTTCTATGGTCTACAAAAATAAACAATTGCATTTCGATACCGGTTCCACATATAGCCTCTACACCAATATGTCCACGTATGCATGGCACTGTGCGAAAGCAAATGAAAAATAATTTTTGTTATTTCAATTAATGAAAAATGTGACATGTCTTTTTTAAATGCCACATGCAAGACAAATATTGTGACATTTAAAAACAATTTTAATTCACTCTCCCGACTCAATGTTATTGTTGACGACGCTTAATGCAAATGGAAGTGAACAAATAGATACAAGTGAATAAACTAGCACAGCCTCTAGCAGACACCTATTACAGTTTTATTTGTATGTGCCGAAATAGCTCAGTTGGGAGAGCGTTAGACTGAAGATCTAAAGGTCCCGTGTTCAATCCACGGTTTCGGCATAATTTTTTTTATTTTTAACGAAAAATCTTCAAAAAAGTGTGTTTTTTTTACTTTTTTGGGGCTTAACAACCGAACATTTTTGTTTACCGCTATAATTTTTATTTATAAAGATAATTTTGGACTATTATCAATTTAAATTGATATATGGAAAAATAAAAATAAATGACGAACGTAAAAAAAAAATAATTCCCCTACCGGGAATCGAACCCGGGCCTTCTCGGTGAAAGCGAGATATCCTAGCCACTAGACCATAGAGGAGATACATGTAAAGTAGCTAGTTGCTTTCATATCCCGTTGGTATTGAATGTTTTCAACGTGTGAATGACTTATGCTGTGTGAATGACTTTGACTACCCAAGATCTCTTGAATTAAAATGTACGAAATCTGAAATGCTATTATTATTGAAGCAATGTAATATAGCTATTATTCCAGTTAAAAGTTATCTCTCCTATAAAAATGCAAAAAGCGCTCCAAAATCGTTTGACATTCATTCATTAGAATATTTTGAAAAATATAGACAAATCTCTAATTATGAAACACTGCTCTTTTGTTTTTCTTCTTCATTGTTGATTAGATTTGGCTTATTTTTAAATTAAACAATGTTTTTTTTTCACATAACTGAAAAAGAGTTGAATATATGCAAAATATTGTCCCAATTTTCAAATGGACTTTTTTGGGGAATTTCCAAACTCGAATTTTACGGAATTTTAAAAACAGAGTATAGAATTATAAAAATCAGGCTTATAATTTTGCTACATTTTTTTTTCAAAATAAATGGTTTTAATTGAGTGTAGAGAAACTGCAGGTGAGTGTACAATATTTTGTTTGAATGTGTATCTGCAAAAAAATGTCAGAGAATGGAACCCTTTTTGGCCATAGTCATAATTTTTCCAGGGTAGCGTTTTTCTAAAAACAACATTTTGTGTAACGTACATAGATGATGACGTAAAAAAATTTAGGGGGTGATGGCAAAATTTCGTAGGGGGTCTCTGAAAAATCCATGGGGGGTCCCAACAGCAATGAAATCCCTACTACCGTGCTAGATGGTGTCGACACGAGTGGATGGATTTTTAAATTTATTTGAACGACGCCATGTTATTATACTTGTCCATTACAACGTACATGTAACAGAAGAAACACACAGTCCATGTCCACGCTAGTGGACATAAACGATTTGAACCGTCAATGTGAACTAGATCAAGTATATAACTTCACATAGGATCATATACGATGAATATGGATTACACAGTCTGTTTCAAAATACCGTCACCAATGTCGACACCATTTGACATCAAAATTTTGACAGTAAAAATATATGTTATTGTTGTTGTCGTTTCATTGCTGTGGGGGTCCCTGACGATGTCACCAATTTGTACGAAATGAGGATAAAATCGTTTTTTTTGCTCTTCACTTTTTTGGCGAAAATCCCTAGCAAATCGAAAGAATTTTCTCACTTCAAATTGCCTTGCAAATCCAAAAATGACAAGAAAATTGTTTTTTTTTTGGAAGTCACTTTTTGAGGCGAAAATACCTAGCAAATCGGAAGAATTTTCTCGGCCAAAAAAAAAGTGAAGAGCAAAAAAAAGGTCCTCATTTCCAAAATTTTTGGGGGTTCCTAAAAATATTTTAGGGGGGGTCATACGGTATGGTAACGTATATTGGTTTTAAAAAGTGTACATTAAGTGTTGGTTACAATTTCGTCTTCGTATTAAATATTTACTATGAAATTGAGTGATTCGGCTACACTAGTCTTATATGAAGAGATAGGGGCGCCGATACTGAAATTTTCAGACGCAGCGTCTGAACGCAGCCTCTAAACGCATCGTCTATATGCTAGAAATAGATATAATATCTTTTTCTTATTTTACCACGTATACACCCTCCAATCCAAAAGTTCCGATACTTTTTAAAAATAATAGATACCAGTGGCGCCACCTACTGGATATTATATGCGTTAGAAAGGTACTTGCCCCACTGACATTATGTCCAAGTTTCATGAGGATCGGATATAAACATGTCAAGATATTGCGTCTTATTTTTTAGTATCTTTTGCTCTTGGTGACAAAATGAATTTCAAACAAAAAATAATCAACTTTTGTGATAAATTTTGAAAGTTTTAACGAATTAGATATTTCAAAAACCATTGCTTAATGTGGAACGTAGTTTTATACATTAAGCTATGGAATAGTAAGATATATATATA